GCCCTATATGTTCCTCTCTAAGGTCACACCTGCTACCCTACACAGTGTGACAGCGAGTTTTCAGCCCCATATAATCTCGTTGGGTTTGGTTTGGGTTTGGTTGGGAGACAGTCTCACTATGTAGCCATCGCTGGCCTGGAACTCAGAGAGATCTGCCTGCCCCTACCTCCGGACGACTTAGAGGAGGATGAGGAGTGTGCACCATTGCCCCAGCAGCTCTACTATAATCTTATGGAACCAGCAGTATGTATACATCGCTCGTTAACTGAAAAGTTGTTAAGCAGCAAGAATGTATTTATTTCAAGCTTTTTATGGAATCAGTTATAACATACACAAAAATAAAAGGCTAAATAGGAGATTGGAAAGAAGAAGCTAAGTAAGAATTCCAGTATGTTCTTCTGATCCTTGTCTACTTATTATCTTAGCACTTCTGTCATTGTTAGCCTGTGTCAGGAGAAAAACCTCCCAGCAGAAATAATCAGAGAACCAAGGAAATTAAATCAGATGCAAAATGTGTTTGGGAAGTGTAGGAAAATAAGGGCATAGCAGACGAGGGTTAGTGATAATAACCTACTGCTTTTCATAACTAGCACCATCGTTAGCCAAAAAAGCAAGCCTGTAAGGTCAGACAGCTGAGGCCATTTTTCATGTTGGGAAACTGGTGGCCAGAAGTTGGAACCACACTCTGGGTTCTCCTGTTGCCAGTTTCTGATGGGCTTGGTGGCGCGGTTTCCTGGGACGGAGCGCAGGAAGAAGAGCGGGTTGAGCTGCGAGAGGATTGTTCGGCTGTTCACGGTGCCCATGAGCTGTTCGGTGTATGCATCTGCGGGATCCGGTGGCAAGAAAACAGTTTGGAAAGTGTCAGCTGCTCAGGAGCCAGAGAAGATGTTTGTTTGGGTCGTGTCGCCTTGATCAGGAACAGCAAGTGCAGACGGGTGAAGAAGGGATTGAAGGGTTGAAGGGAGCTGGACTCTCGATGCCTGAGGGGGTTGGGATACAGAGTGGTCGGCAGCTTTCAGTGAAGGAAGACAACCCCTAATGGAGGGACAGCCCACAACATAATGAGCAGTGACAAATCTCGAACAAAGAGGCCTAGAAACTGTCACCTCCTGGAAGAGACCAAATTAAGTAGCTAAATGCCTTGTGGGATTCCCAAGTCAGTCCAGGAATGGGGAGTTGGGAAGACACCAGGGTTGGGGTCTCCTCGGCCTCGAGAGCCTCCCTAGGTGCTGGTGTGAGCAGAGCCCATGGCTCCATGCCCAGTGCCACAAAGAGAAAGTGATGAGAGACAGCGGGGATGGATGTCAGTGGGAAACTGGTGTACTTTAAATAACAGTAATTCGCCAGGCGGTAGTGGTGCACACCTCTAATCCCAGCATTTAGGAGGGAGAGAAAGGTGGCTCTCTGAGTTCTCCAAGGCCAACCTGATCTACAAAGTGAGTTCCAAGACAGCCGTGGCTATACAAAGCAACCCTGTCTCATAAATAAATAAATAAATAAATAAATAAATAAATAAATAAATAACGGTAATTTGTCAAAGCTAATGTCTTGGTTTGGGTCATGCCAGCATTACAGATTCAAACACTAGAGGAAGCTGAGTGAGGGGTACACGAAAGCCTTGTGTGCCAGTTTTACCTGTCTGTGAGCCCAACATGATTTCAAAATAAAAAAAAAAAAAAATTAGGCAGGGCATGTAGCACTCTTGAGAAAAGGTAGTAAGTAGGAAAGGGAGTTCCGGGCCAGCCTGGGCTACAGATTGACTCTGTCTCCGATTTTTGGAAAGGGCTGGGGAAGAGCTTCCACAGGAAAGTGGTTGCCTTGTCTATGCCAGAGCCTTTTAATAAAAGCACCCAACATATGCCATCAGTCACCCTGGGGCTAGAGAGATGGCTCAGTGATTAAAAGCACTGACTGCTTCCAGAGGACCAGGGTTCAATTCTCAGCACACACATGGTGGCTCACAACTGTCCATAGATACGTATACGGGTCTTTTTTTTTTTTTAAGATTTATTTATTATGTATACAGGCCTTCCTGTTTGTCTGCGCTCCAGAAGAGAGCACCAGATCTCACTATAGATGGTTGTGAGCTACCACGTGGTTGCTGGGAATTGAGCTCAGGACCTCTGGAAGAGCAGGTAGTGCTCTTAACCTCTGAGCCATCTCTCCAGCCCCAAGGTGACTTATGGCATATGCTGAGTGCTCTTAAACCCTCTTCTGGGGCTTTTAAACCCGCTTCTATCCTTAATGGGAATTGCACACATGTGGCGCACATACATTCAGTCAGGCAAACATTCACATACGCAAAGTAAAAATAAGCAAAAAAAATGAAATAAGTCATCTTGCAGCCTCAACGCCTTCATTCTTCTCCACTGGTCGATAGATTTGGCTAGAATTCCAAGGCCTTGGATATTGCTGGTCAGAGTAAGGAAGAGGAAAGGGAACTGAGGGGCAGAAGGTCAGGCCTGCTTTCCTGCGTGGTCCACAGCTGGCCACGGCTGACTCCAGCTATAGAGCTCTGGGCCCTGGGTATCGCCTGAGGACCTTGGAGGAAGTTACTCTTATTGTCTGCTGAAGATGCCGGAATGAGGCCGTCTGGGTCGAAACCACACCATCTGTTTGTGCCCTCAGAACTTTTAAAATGATCCCAGTGTTTACGGATCTGAACTTCCCATGTCACACTTGTGGGGGAAGTACCCAAGAGGCTTCCAGGCCTGGCAAGACTGTTCACGCAGGAGAGCCTTGGCTAGGAAGCAGGTTAAGTTGTGCAAGGCAGTGCTTAGTGAAGGTGCTGTTGTCATTCCGGTTGCCAGGGAGGGGTTCATGCTAGCAACTCTCAAATCCACTTCCGCCTAACTGTAGTGTCCTGAAGCCAAGGCAGATGCTCCGACTTAGCGTGTGTCATGCTCACAGGTGAATTTTCCCACCAAGAAGACAGGGTTTTTCTACAATGAAGTTCTCAGCAGGGTTGAAGAGATGCTTAAGAGCCCCGGCTGCTCTTGCAGTGGACCCAAGTTCAGTTCCAAGTACCCACATGAAGCTCACAACTGCCGGTGATACCAATTCCCAGGGATCTGATGCCATCTCCTGGACTCCGTGGCCCCCAGACACACATATGGTACATATATACACACACACAGGCAAAACACTCCAACACATAAAATGAAGATGGATAAATTTTAAAAAAGAAAAAAGCCCCAGGGCTGGAGAGGTAAAGATCTGAATTCAATTCCTAGAATCCACTCCACAAAGTTGGCCTCTGATCGCCACCATCTGTGCCATGCACGGTGTGCGTGCCCCCTGCTCCCGTACGCGCATGCGCAGGCACACAGGCACACCGTGACACGTACACACTCATAAATAAGTGTTAAAAAAAAAAAAACCATTGTTAAGGCAGAAAATCTCCCTGTGGAAAATGACATCTCCAACATAGTTTCATATCCACCGCTCCCTGCGCTTCGAAGTCAAGGCAAATTCAAACTGACCTACCCCCATCTTCCAAGTGGCAAGACGGGGTAGTCCTTGTTTTCCTGTAGCTGGCTGGTTACTGGCAACTTGGCCAAGGCCACCTTTCTACATCACACACTAACCTGTGTCCTACAGAAGCATTCCAGGACAGCTCGCTGCTTGTTCTCCCTCCTTCCCACTCTCTCTTTCTTTTTCTTCTTAAATTATCTTTTCTCCTACCTCTTGGGAGGCTGAGGTGAGAATATTGCCACAACTTGGAGCTCCTCCCCTCCCCCCCACCCCCACCTCTGCTCCCTTAGGCTACAGAGCAAAATCCTGCCTTTAAAATAGGTGATTCTAGCCAGTGGTGGTGGGTCTTTAATCTCTGCACAGGGAAGGCAGGTGGATCTCTGTGAGTTTGAAGCCAGCCTTGTCTACAGAGTGAGTTCTAGAACAGCCAGGGCTGCAACACAGACAGACCCTATCTTGAAACAAACAAACAAACAAACAAACAAAAAGATAATAATAAAAATGGGACACACCTGTAATCTGACACCCCGAGGATCCGCAGTAAGGAGGCCAGCTCGGGCTACATAGTAAGACGAAATTCTTTACCCTTTGTGGAATGCCTTTTCTGGACATGATAGGGTGTTAAATTGTTTGTGAAACATCTCAGGGCTTAAGACTAGCAGACCCAGGAGCCAATGGCCAGTCAACCCCTGAGGCAGTAGAGTGGTGGCTGGTGGGGACCCCAGCATTCTCAGCAGAGCTTTGGACTGGGAAGTTCCTTAAGGAGAAGGCATTTCTTCCTCCCAGGAAAGCCACGGGGAAGGATGGGGATGACTCCATGGTCATTTACTCATTATCCACAAGGTCCCAAGTTCCACCTCAGCAGCCTCCCCACACACAGAAATGATAAAGTTGATTCTTAGCACGGCATGGTGATTTGCTCTTGTAATCCACCAGCATTCATTTAAGGAGGCTAAGGCAGGAGGATCACCTTGAGTTCAAGGCCAGACTTGGCTCGTAGAGAACTGAAGGTCAACCTGGGCTACAGTGTGAGACCCTGTCTCAAAAAACAAAGGGAGGTGCTGGAGAGATGGTTCTGCAGTTAAGAGCTCAAGCTGCTCTTGCACAGAACCTGGGTCTCATTCCCAGCACCCACACGGCAGCTCCTAACTCTGACTTCAGTTACAGGAGATGTGACGCCCTCTTCTGGCCTCCACAGATACTGCACGCATGAAGTACACATACTTGCAGGCAAAACACCCACATTGTAAATTTTGAATTGGAAAAAAAAGGTGGGTGCCAGAGGTGGTGGTGCAGGCCTGTAATCCCAGCACTTGGGTGGTATAGGCAGGAGGACTTCAGTTCTACCTCAGCTTGCAAAATTAGAACCAGTCTGGGACCTGAAACCTTGTTGTAAAAAACAAACAAACCCATAAAGCCTAAACAAATATAGTCGATGCTATTTCCTATTGGGAAGCTCCACCCAGCCCCATTCCAGACCCCGCCCCTGAGAAAGCCCACCCCACTGGTGGCTCCTCCCCCTGAGATGCATAAGACCCCGCCTACTGCTTATTTAAGCCCATAGAGCTGCCACAAACTCTCACACTCTCCCTCCTGCCTTCCTGAGAGTCACCTGGGAGTACTCTGCTCTGCTTTGCTGTTTATTAAATCTGGATTTATTAATTAGGTTTGATTCCGCTAATTACATCCCTAATAACCGGGGAACCAATACTTATCATGTCCATGTGGATAAATCAAGTTTGACAGAATTTGAAGAGTTTGGTCAGACCTATCTTTTTCTATTTCACAAAAATATGACTTGTCCAAAGGTCTGTCCTCACTTCCTGTGCAGTACATTTCTTGTGGCTTCATTTTCAACACTTCCGTTACAAAAGAATAGTATGGATGCTCTGATTCCACATTCCAAGTAAGGAAATTGAGGTACAGAGCGACAATGGAACTTGTCCACGGTCGCAGAGCGTTTTAGGAACCAGACTGGGATACAGACTTCAACCATCACGTGCTAGGAAAACATTGCACCCTGAGCCACACTGCCAGACCGGAAGACATGTATGTTTATCACAGCTTTGGGGAAGAAAGTAACTGACCATGTGGTGGCCAGGGGGGCTGCTAAAAAACCTTCAGGGCTCAGCTCCTTTCTCCCACCCCCAGTTAGTGACCTTGACGCTAAAGAGCCCTGTGCTGGTGAAGCAGTGCCCACACACCTTTCTTGCCCTGAGCTGGAACCTAGTTGAGTAGGGACTCAGGACTCCTCCGGCACCGTCGGGCAAGCAGGACGGGAGCTGTTGCTGCCTGTTCTTGTGCTCCTTCCACTCCGTTAATTAGTGCGTCTGGGCTCCCAGGCTCCTTCCTCCTCGGCTTTTCTAAAGTCAAGGACACGGTCCTGACTAGCTGAGCAAGTGATTTAGCAAAAAGAGTCCTTCTGCTGTGTGAGCCCCGAGCGAAGGCCAATGGCCATATTTATGAGGCCGGCTAGAGGGAGCCTGGGAGAAAGGCGCCCGCTGTGGATACGGTTGGGGGCGCGAGCTGATAAAACCCAGAGACACCTTTGCCTTTGGGAAAGGAGTGGGGCCTTTAATCTAGACACAGCCTGTGGGCCCCATTCCCTGATTTACTTTAAGGGTAATGAGGTCGGGGAGAGACTCCGCTTGCACGCCGTCTGGAAACAGGACTTCTGCCACGTACCTGCAGTGAGAAAGGGAAGATCTGCCTCTACCCCCAGCCCTCAACCCCCCTCCCCTCCCCGTGCCTCTCTCCCATGAATCAGATTTTTGGTTTGGGGGTTTTGTTTTGTTTTGTTTTAACTCCAGCTTTAAAGGCTCTCCCCAACAGCAGACACTCGGAACCCCAGAGGTCTCCTCACAGAGCCAGCAAAATGCAGCCACTTCAAGGTCATCCCGAGAAGCTGAGTGTGAGTAGGCAAGCCTCGCTGGGGGAGAGTTCGAGCGCTGGGCAGAATTCCGGAATGAGGCCCTCTGCTCCCCTGTTCTTTATCTTCCTGGTGTCAGTCCGCAAAGAAGAACCTTCCGCAAATTAGTCCTGAAATTCCACCGGAGACTTTTTATTATTTGATATTTAAAATGGACAGTTATCCCATATGAGATGTCCAGGCAAGCTTACCACAAGTGCATTTAAATTGTTTGGACACCAGGTTTTTGGAGGAGGGTGGTGGCTCAGGATTGAATGTAATGCTTTATACAAACTAGGCAAGAACTCCAGCACCGAGCTACAGCCCCAGCCCTTGAGAATAACTCCGAGATACATTTGAGTGTTGTGCAGGGCAGATTTGCCAGGACGCTACTAAAACCCAAGTTCACACCATGCATATGACCATCTACTGCTATCAAGTCTTTGTTGGTGGGATTAAAACACATTCTCTCTCTCTCTCTCTCTCTCTCTCTCTCTCTCTCTCACACACACACACACACACACACACACACACA